CTACCTGAGGCAGCTGGGGTTGGCCGCGCCCTGGGTGGGCATCCTAATGGGAGCCAAGCACCTGATCGCAGCCGTCTGGGCTCCCGTCTGTGCCTTCCTGGCCAAGAGCTACCAGAAGCGGAGGGTGCTTCTGATCGGCTCGCTGCTCTGCTCGGTGGGAGCCAGCCTGTTGATGGTCCTGGTGCCGCCCCTGGACAGAGACCGCTCCTGTAACGGAAGTCACGCCACGGTCCTACCCCCGGGGGTCACCCTAACTGTGAACGTCACCGCGGCCCCGTCGCCAGCCTCGAACCACCCAGCGGGGGCCCGCAGCCTCCTAGCCGAGGGGAGTCCTGGGGTCTCTGGAACCGATGGCTTCAGAGAAGGACCTGGGGAAGGCAGCCAAGAACCTTTCAGTCATCGGCCGGACTACTTTGCAGGCTCCACTGAAGGAGCCAGGACCACATCCCGAGTCCTCCATCCTGTCACTTCCGGGGTGAAAGACACTCCCTGGGAAGGTGCTCTCAGGGTGGTCGGTACTTCCCTCCCTTTGCTTGCTGGGGGTACAGCAGTGGCAAGTCCAGCCAGCCTGTCCGCAGCCAAGAGGAACTCCTGGGCCCTTGACCTCTCCTTGGAAGGGTTGCGGTGGACTTTCATCCTCTCTCTGGGCTTCATGGTGTTCTGGGAGCTGCTGGCAGCCCCTCTGGAGCAGGTGGCAGACGACAGCCTTTATGAATACCTGGATTTTGTGGACGCCACTGACCGCTACAGAAGCCTGTGGATCTGGAGGCTGCTGGGCATGTCGGCAGGTGTGTGTGGCATCGCAGCCTTAGTGGGGCAGCTGGACTGCTTCCTGACGACAAGTGGGCCCCGGGGTGTGGTGTATTTCTATGGCTACTCACTGATCAGCACCCTGGCTTTGCTGGTGAGCATTGCATTTCCCGTCCCCATCTGCAGGCGGCGGGAGCCCAGCTACAAAATGGTCAAAGCCCTGTCTCTTGTAGGCGGCAATCCCCGCCTCATCGTCCTTGGCCTCACCATCTTCTTGATAGGAGCCGCCACCAGCACGGTGCAGGACTTCCTGTTCTGGCACATGAAAGACCACGGGAGCAGTGAGCTGGTCATGGGTTTCTCGGTGGCCCTGGGCTTGCTGGGGGAAATTCTGCTTCATCCGTTCAGAAGTCCATTGCTTAGGAAGCTGTCCAGGGTGGGCACGGTGGGACTGGGGCTGGGCTGCCTCGCGGGGCAGCTGCTCTATTACTCTTTCCTCTGGAGCTGGTGGTCCATCCTGCCTGCACAGATCCTGAGCGCCGTCAGCCACGGGGCTCTGTGGTGGGCAGTCGGGGCCTCCACGGAGGACCTGGCCACTCCCGGAACGGAGAGACCTCTGAGCTCCATGTTCCGAGGCCAGTTTTACGGGGTCGGGGCCAGCCTGGGCAGCTTCGTGGGGGGCTTCGTGGTGATGCGCTTCAGCCTGCCTGTGCTCTACCAGGCCTGCTGCGTGGTCCTGTTGCTCTGGCTGGCCTTGTTCCTGTCCATCCAGCCCAGACTGCCCCAGGAGCGGAAGGTCAACTACACCAAGCTGCTGGCCATGGAGGCAAGTGACACGAGTGACTCTGAGGAGGGAAGCGAGCGGGACTGGCTCGTGAAGGCCATGAAGGACGAACATTCAGACTGGAGGGGCTGAGAGACGGTCAGGGTGCACTGATCTGGAAAAGAGCCAAAAGGAGGGACCAGACTCAGTCCACGGAGGGCAAAACCTACGATTCCCACCAGGGCTGCCAGGAGCCTTGTGGGAGAGAAGCACGTCTGTGCCGCAGCCCCACGGGATCTTCTCATTGCATGATCTTCTTTACCTTTGTAGTAAAAGGAGATGTCACTCTTTGCTGTTCAATCCTTTATAAATAACAGAGCAAGAATACATTTGCTAAAAAAGAAAAAAGTTCCCCTTATAGTCTCTCTATTTTGGGATGTGAGGTCGGCAAGGGCTTTGCGTGTGCTGTTGATTTCAGCCACGGCTGAAGTGCTTACGTGAAACTGACTGAGCCGGGAAGGCAATGGGACCTGCAGGACTCAGCTGGCAGACGGGGCAGCCAGCTTTGATGAGGCATGTACATTCCCATGGATCCTAAGGCATGAGCCCAGTCCTCTGAAAGCCATGCTGTGGGCAGGTAAGGATGGTGGGGAGAACTGAAACCCTTCTCTCTCTCTCTCTCTCTCTTTCTGCACTGCTATACAGGCGCCCTGCCCCGCTCACACCCAGGTACCTAAGTCTCCAATAAGAGAAGATGATGGGAAGTGTAATATGTGTCAGGGGGCTGGGCAGAAGTTAGTAGGTTTTCATTCTTCCTCTCAAATGTGTGTTTCACCAGGAATAGGACCCTTAGAGTCGTCTTCCATACTTAGGTTAGAGCAAGGGCCCTTTCATGTCCTTTGGGCTTTCATTTCGCAGGCTGCACCTAGCAAGGGCACACGGAGAGTCTGCATCTGCCTTGATGAGGGTGTGGCAGCCTCCTTAGGGTGAGATGCTACAGGTAGTCCTCACTGCCCCGGTGCCAACTGACCTCCCTTAGCAACCCTGTGAATAAATTAAAGTCATTGACTATATCTTACAAACAAGAAAACAGAGTCTCGGAAAAGCCACATGTTGGGTCACGGGCAGGAACATCTCCGGGACTCTGATCTCCTTACCCTACATTTGTGCGCTCCCTGCTACTCCATTCGCTTCCGAGCCTGGCTGGCCGTCCAAGTCGCCTGAGGAGCACATCCAGAAAGAGGTTCCTGGGCTCCATAAGAATCTCTCAGGTGGAGGACCAGAAATCTGTATTTTAATGCAATCTCCCAGTGATGGTGAGGTGGCTGGCCAAGTACCAGTCCCCTTGGTTCCCCTTCCAGGCTAGTGAATATAGTCATTCACTATATATATGTTCAATATTTTTCATTTTATTATATATATATATATATGTACACACACACACACCTGTGAATCAAGCATCACAATCAGGGTAGTGAATACATGCATCACCCACAAAATTTCTTCCTCCTCCTTGGTAATCCTGCCCTCCTCCCGCCACTACCCTGGTCCTAGGCACTCACTGATCTGCTTTCTGTCACTAAATATTAGTGTTTTTAAAGACTATAGCATGTACACTTTTATGTCTGCTTTCACACAGCAAAACTGCCATGACTTCCGACACCAACTGCCTGGAGTTACTCCATGGGTCAAGAGCACACGACTGCCCTCAGTTCAGACACCAGCCACAAGTTCAGGGGTCCCCAGGGCCACCCTCCCTTCTGACCAACTGGCTGCAAAGTTGGGGTTCCCACTCTCCCCCTCGGGTTCAGTAACTCACTCGAATGACACAGAACCTAGGCAAGCACTGCCCTGACAACGACAGTTTTATTCCAGCCAAAAGACACAAAAAGCAGAACCAGCCACAAGAAGAGACACACAGGGTGAGGTCTGGGGGGTCGGTGTCCACGTGCCCTCCCCGTGGAGTCAGAACCCAGCACCTCTCAGCCCACTGATGTGACCAGACGTGGGGTGGTGACCACCAGGGAGACCCGCTAAGACTTGGCATCTGGTTTTTCCTGGGGCTGCATCACATCTTCATGGTTCATTGAGTCGCTGGCCTGTGACTCACTCTTCAGCCCCTGTCCCCTTCCCAGAAGTCAGGCTGATGTCACATGGCTCAAAGCCCCAGACTTCTATTCAACAACATGATTGGTCTTTCTGGCGGGGCCAGGCCCCTCCCCAAGTCATCTTATCAGCATAGACATTCTAGGGTCCAGCACTGGTCACTTTACTAACGGACACCCCGCCCTTCCTGAGTGACCTCATCATCATAAACACAAGTGGGATCTGAGAGGCCCACCAAGAATAACAAAGACGCGTTTCTAACTCGGGCAATGCCAAGGATTCAGAGGCCGCCTTCCAGGAACCAGGGACAAAGGCCAGTGAGCAGGCCCAGCAGAAAACATTTGCACACACAGAACAAGACAGGACAAACTGAACGTCAAGTGAGAAGTTCAAACAGTCTTTCAGGACGTGTGGGGCAGGCGTGAGGGCCGAGTGCTGGGATGTACAGGAGAAAACCTCCTAGAGATGATGAACTCGGCCCGCACACTGCAGGCAGGACCGGCCATAAAGCCTGAGGTGGGGGGACTTTTTAGTCTACTAACGAGCCACGAGATCAGTTCAGCTTCATAAAGTGAAAAGCAAGTGAAATCCCTAGTGCGCAGCCTCATGGCTGTCAGAGGTACTGACGACTTCTCACACATCTTGATTCCAGGTAAGAGAAAAGTAAATATTGGATGAACATTCACCTGTGTGCTCAGGCTGACTTAACCCATCCTATCCCAGGTGAGTTTTGCAGAACACTTAATCCTAGTGGGGTGGAGTGGGGTGGGGGCATTAAAAAAGGATTCTGCGGCTGACCAGTTTGGGAAGCGATGGAAATAATGATTGATTATTTAGAATCTTACATATTAGCAGTTAAAGACTCTCGAAAGCCCAATAGCCAACAGGCACCTTGGGTGCAGGGAACTCCTTCCCAGTGGCATCCAAATTCCAGCTTCGCACATGTCAACCATCACAGGCAGCAGCCTTGGACTTCTGCATCCCCTCTGCCCTGTGCATGGGGTTAGCGCATCCCCTCAGGCCTGAGAAGCCATCTTGTAGGGACTGTGAGGGGTAAGCTGAGGGCCAGACAATGGGGCTGCTGAGCGAGAACCAGACAGGAAGAGATTCGGCCCGCAGTTCAGAAGCCTCCCACCAGGGGGCACCAAACACACGAGGAAACCTCTGTCCTGGCCTCCCTGGGCAAACCTGATTCTGTGCCCTTCCCAAAGCTCCAGGTCATGGTGAGGTTGGCTCCCCAAGGACCCTTTAGCGGATCTGGTGCCACTGTAAAGGTGGCTTTAAGTGAGAGGTAGGACATTTTCCGGAGAGGGGCCTGGGAAAAGGGCCAGGTGCAGGGGTTGCCCTGGACTTGGCGTGGGAGGCACAGGTACCAGCAGCCCCGCCAGCCCAGAGCAGCCCAGGTATTTCCTCCTGTGGAGACAGGCTACCCTAGTGCTGCTTCATCTTGGTCGGGGTGGGTGGGAGGCAGTGTTACTGTGAAAAAAAACAGGGAAAGTGGCTGCACGTCCCACTCAAAGGTCCTCGGGCTGATGGGGCCACGTGGGGTCAGAGCCTAGAGGGTAAGTAACATCAGCTTCACAGGTCCTCAGCTCCTGCTTCTCTGTTCCTCCCACTCTGTCTGCCGGGTCTCACCGATTTATATCAGTGGCTGCAGAGAGGGCGTCACGGGGCGGGAGAGTGTAGCTCAGTGGTAGAGTGTGTACGTAGCAGGCACAAGGTCCTGGGCTCAATCCCCCGTACCTCCATTAGAGTAAGTAAACCTAATTACCTCCCTCCACCAAAAAAGAGGGTGTCACAAGCATTTACAAATTAGTTTGTGAGCAGCCGCGGGGGTAGTACTTAATACTTATATAAACTATATGCCGTTGGAAACATAGATTAACAGAATGGTTCTTGCTCCCTTTCAGGTGACCTCTAAAAATGGTTCGCTATTCACTTGACCCAGAAAACCCCACAAAATCATGCAAATCAAGAGGTTCAAATCTTCGTGTTCACTTTAAGAACACTTGTGAAACTGCCCAGGCCATGAAGGGTATGCATATCCGAAAAGCCACCAAGTATTTGAAGGACGTCACTTTACAGAAGCAATGTGTGCCGTTCCGTCGTTACAATGGTGGAGTTGGTAGGTGTGCCCAGGCAAAACAGTGGGGCTGGACACAGGGTCGATGGCCCAAAAAGAGTGCTGAGTTTTTACTGCACATGCTCAAAAATGCAGAAAGTAATGCAGAACTTAAGGGCTTAGATGTAGATTCACTGGCCATTGAGCACATCCAGGTGAACAAAGCTCCCAAGATGCGGCGCAGGACTTACAGAGCTCATGGTCGGATCAACCCTTACATGAGCTCTCCCTGCCACATTGAGATGATCCTTACTGAAAAAGAGCAGATTGTTCCTAAACCAGAAGAGGAGGTTGCACAGAAGAAAAAGATATCCCAGAAGAAACTGAAGAAACAAAAACTTATGGCCCGGGAATAAATTCAGCAAAAAATAAATGCAATTAAAAGTAAAAGCAGAAAAATAAAACAAAAAAAAACAAAAACAAACAAACAAACAAACAAACAAAAACAAATTAGTTTGATCTCACCAGGCATTTGATGCCTTCTTTTAAATTGGTAGCTCGGAAATCTTTGTTTTACTGCAGCGAAAGGAATCAAAGTAAGAGCGACCTGGGAGAGGAGAGAAGAGCCACCAGGTACCATTACTGCATCCAAACGGGGGTCCTCCATCATGAACCACCATCGTGACCTCCACCAATGGAAACAAGTGATGGGCTTTACAGGTGGAGGACAGACTGCAAAGGCGTGTCTAGCATCAAACGGCACAGCCAACAGAGCAAAAAGGCAGTCTGTGGAATGGGAGAGAATATTGCCATATCATACATTCAACAAGGGGTTAATATCCAGAATACACAAAGAACTACAACTTCACAACAAAAAAACAACAACCCAATTTTTAAAATAGGCCAAGGACTTGAACAGACATTTCTCCTAAGAAGATACACAAATGGCCCACAAACACACGAAGAGGTGCTCCACATCACTGATCGTTAGGGAAAGCAAACCAAGAGCATGGGGAGATATCACTTCACGCCCATTAGGATGCCTGCTAACAAAAAGAAAAAAGGAGAAAGAAAGAAAACGACAGAAACAAGAACCCCCCAAAATAAGACATGTTGACAAAGATATGGAGAAATGGGAACCCTTGTGCACTCCCAGAGGGAACCAAAAATACTGCCTTTTTCTGAACGTCGCATGAAGCAGCGTGTAGCTTAGTTGCACCTGTGCCTGCACAGGATGACG